ATCTTAAAATTCGTCTGCCGAATAAGCTGTTCTTTTTTAACGAAAACTTCGGCTGAGAACTAATTTTAAATTTAAGAGCACTTTAAAATCCTACAGGTCTGTAGAATTCTAAAATGCTTTCAAATACATAATTGAGTCATTACTGGAAAAAATTTACTAAATTTAGACGACTGTAAAAGATTTATATATTTTTTCAAATCTTTAATAAAGATACTTTGGTATTACCTAATAAATTTTCGATTTTTGATGCCATTTTAGAATTTGATAACCTCATAAATACCAGGAAAGGAGTGATATTGAAAATTTCGCAGCGTTTATGTTATATTACAAATTAGATGGCGTTCGTACGTAAAATCTTGCATTTTATTGGATAAATGTATATTGTGAAGCAAGGGTGTGAATGCATATGATCTTCACATGTTACGTCTTCATGTTACGTCTTCACATTCGATGTAAAGCTTATTCCTTTATTTGTGTGTCGCATAAAATTATTAGCCTAGCTTTTTAGGTGTGATACCTGATTCATTGTTGATCTTGATTGCCATTATACCATCCTATTTATACCAGAGAAACGGAATGATATGTAAATATCACGAAGTACAGCATACGTACCAGGAACAGAGTGATATGTAAATATCACAAAGTATACCAGGAACGGAGTGATATTGAAAATTTCACGAAGTGTATGGTTATACGGGAATTAAGTGATATGTATTCACAAAATATTACTTATTATTGTATATATGCGTATGGCGAAGCAAGGGTGTGAAAGCATATCAGAGCTATATCCGGGCAATATCTGCACATGATTAGATGCTGCTTTTTCCGTGACCTATTGTGATTATGTCTACTAATCAAGTTATTTAAAGCGGTAACTAAATGCGAATAAAAGTAAATTACAAATGCCATAATAAACAATATCCAAAACGTTTTTAGGCAAGTCTCAAAATAAATTTGCATAACTATTTTTCTCTTATTGGGTTGATGAAATATTAATCACTGATCAGATGTATGCGAAAATGCAAAAGTGCGAAAGAATTTTACTGCATATAGTAATCACCGGATTACATTCGTGATATACATTAGTGTTTAAACCCTGACTAATGAATCATATTGATATTCGCCTGATAACATTAAATATTTTTCTAATTACTGTAATCTTTAATATCTATTTATCATTTTTATTACATCTTAAATAAATGCCTGTTGATCTCCCACAAACAATTAATCTTCCTTACACTTTAACCCTAAAGATTTCATTACACTTGATCTTTCGATCTAATCGGATAAAATCACGAGGGGAGAGCTACCAAATATATGAACTAATCCACATGTGAATCATTTTACTTCTTATCTTCTGATGTTGTTAACAATGGCAGTTCTATTCACTCACATTACAATAATCACAAATTTCCGCGTAACGGTATTGATAATCCTTGATTGAAGATGGAACGAAACAATTTGTTAATCATTTCCAAATGCAGCGATTACAGGATAATATTTTCTTCAGGCTGACATGGCTAAGCAAAGATATCCAGAAGCAATCAGGTTAGGTAATGTGACAGGTTTTATGATCGAGTTCAGAGATGGGGCAAATGCGACGGATTGTCTCTTGTAAATGGATTACGCCGCGTAACGTTCCTCAAAGATAATAGAGGCGGTTTTTCGATTTGGCACAAGGTCGAGGCGATCTTTAAGGGGCGTTACAAGATAAGTACTACGATTTTTAAGGAGCGTTAATATATTTTATAGGTTAAAAGGGCTTTATTAATTTCTTTATTATTTTTATAGGGGTAATACAACTATAGAACTGTATTATTATACTATTCTGAGCTGTACGAACTGCCTTTTGGGAGGGGGAAATTCCACCCTTTTTATAATGAATTGACCGTGAGAAGAGTACGCACAAGACCACGACTCTTCTCATTGTTCTCATCGTTTTCCAACCATTTTTGTTCTAACCTTTAACTCCTTTCACACAGCCTTTCGTTACTTTAACATTTCTCACGTTCTTCATAGAACCGATGAGAAATGCTTCAGTTTTACTATCCCGGGGCCAGAACCCATCATATTGTCTACAATCGCACCCCCTTTGACATCGCCTCACACCTAACCCAAGTAGCGTAGGTGGAGTCAATGTCCATTCCCAGTGAGAACAGGTTGGTCCAGGTCGACCTTTCTTTAATTGGAGGGGGTGGTGGGAGGCTTGTGTACTGTCATATGGCTTTCGTGGGGCCGGGCGCACATCTTTCAAATCGTCATGGGCACCACCAATTAGGTAAGTATGCCACAATGACGACCATTTCGCAGGTTCTATGGGGTGTCGGTTTTACCTCTGACAGTAATTATCTAGCTAAGGCGGTGAGCGAGCACATGAGGTTAGGTATACGTACGTATACAATACTAATTGCTTAATTTAGAACTATAATATAACAATAATTATTAATAATATCGATATCTATTTTCGAACTGTAGAAGCTTGCGAGTTGATCTTGCATCATGTGAACAGCGGTTATAGTTTGTTGTAAGGGGTGCGGGTCAAAATCCCGACAAACAGAATCCCGACAGGGTTAGATCACTTTAGATAATGGTTGGGATAGGGTTTGCTATGGTCTATTATATTTTTTATCAGAGTTTTTAATTGTCGGAATTTTAACTGTCGGGATTTTTGACTGTCGGGATTTTTAGCTGTCGGGATTTTTTTGTCGGGATTATGACCTGTCGAGATTTTGACCCAAACCCGTTGTAAGAATCCATATTAATATGGAATCTAATATACATATCGCTGACTCAATTTAAAAAAATTAATTTGTTGAAAGGTGAAGTAATTATTAAATGCAAGTTTTCATACGATTTTGTATAGCCAATCGATTAATAATTGGCTGTTTTTTTTTATCAGGTCTTCCTTTCCTGGTTTTGCACGATGACGTCGCGCAGCTATCTAATGTTATTACTTCAAGCACAAGAAATTCCACTTGAATGAATTGCTATAAGTCAAATTTAGACAATATTGTTGTAATACAAACATTAGTATAACAATCGATTATTAAATTCACTACCAATTATCACATTCTCAATAATAACACAATTTATTTTGTAACTTTATCGCATGTAATGTCAAATGAAAAAAAACATTTGCAATAATTCATTTACGGACAATGATGATGGTCAAGTCATTAAGGCCTCGAAGCAGACAGGCTTATTATTGCACAGTCGCAGGATTTTCTAAATAGTGTCATCGAAGAATTATGTAACGTATAAAATAAAGAATTATGAAAGGAAATCCTATAAACTCAATTCTTAACTCCATAAATCAGCATCTTACAAACAAGCAGCAAAAATCAGAAGAAATAATTAACTTATGTTTAAATAACCAAACAAACCCTATTGTTCAAACCAATTCTATAATTCAAAATACTCTTGCATATTATTATCAGTATAGAAAATGGATTAGAGCATAAAGCATTTACTTATTATCAAAAATCAGCAGAGATAGGGAATTCTATTGGAATGAATACTCCTGGAACTTGTTATGAACATGAAATTGGAGTTGAAAAAGACAATCATAATGCGTTTATATACTGTCAAAAATCAGCAGATATGGAAGATTCTTATGGAATCAATTTCCTAGATGATTGTTATCAAGATGGAATTGAAAAGGATGAACACAAGGCATTCATTTATTATCAAAAATTTGCAGATATGGGTAATTCTAGTGAAATATATAATCTTGAATGTTGATATAGAAAAGGAATTGGAGTTGAAAAGGATGAACTCATTTATTATCAAAAATCTGCCGACTTGGATAATTCTAATGGAATAGACAGGCTTGGATATTGTTATGAAAAAAGAATTGGGTTGAAAAGGATGAGCATTAAGGCATTCATTTATTATCGAAAAACTTCTGATATGAGTAATTCTGATGGAATGCATAAACTTAGACGTTTTATACGGGTGCGGGTCAAAATCCCGACAGGTCATAATCCCGACAGCCAGAATTTATAGGTAGAAAATCCCAAGTATGAGATATGTTTAAAGCGAAATAGACTCTTATAATTTAATTAATTTTAGGGTTAGGTCACTTTGGATAAGGGATTAGATATGGTTTGCTATGGTCTATGATATTTTTTAGGGGGATTTACAAATAAGGACCCGGAAAATGAAAATAATTACAAATACGGGCCCAAATTAAAAATAATTACATATGAGGGTCTAGTTTTTAAAAAATATTACATATAAGGCCTAAGTCTATTGATGGATGGAAAAACATGATCACGGAACTACTGTGCCACAAAGTATTCTGACCATTTGACTTATAACAATAGCAAAATCGCGATTATAGGATTATTGTTGTTTTATTATAGGCACTTGGAGTTATCTAGATATAAATTATTAGATAAAAAATAATGAAGCGCTGGCTACAATCATTTTTGCTTAAATATTGTATAAAAATAGTGTTAAACTAGCAAAATTATTTATAAGATGATGAAGTTTCAACAGAGTAGCTCTCAAGAGCGCAATGCTTTACTTGATATCATAGTAGTTTGTTATAACGATAACCGATTTTATACAAGAAAATGAAATTTATTAAATTTAAAAAATTTCTTTTTTCGTGTATAATTACTAATTTACAATGCTTATATGCTTATGTAATAACGATCAAGCCATAGGATTGAATAATGTCACTGTTATTTTGGGCCCTTATATGTAATATTTTGTAAAAATTAGGCCCTTTTATGTAATTACTTAATTTGGACCCGTATTTGTAATTATTTTCACTTTCCGGACCCTTATTTGTAAATTCCCCTATTTTTTATCAGAGTTTTTAATTGTCGAAATTTTTAACTATCTGGATTTTTGACTGTCGGGATTTTTAGCTTTCGGGATTATTTGTCGGGATTATGACCTGTTTGTCGGGATTTTGACCCAAACCCCATTTATTAACCTTTACCATTTTTGAATATTCGTTGCATCTTTTTTTTATATGCAACTAAAAAAAAATGACTACGCCTCTTATCGCTGAAATTATGCTATTCTGTCTTGTTCTTGGTGATGTAGTTGAAAATGCATTCGTAATCGATATCAGAGAAGATAAGACTATCTCACATCTAAAAAAATTAATTAAAGAGAAAAAAGATACTTTTCAAAATGTTGATGCTAATGACCTCGTGCTCTGGAAAATTTCTTGTATTTCTATCAATGAAAAAAACATAAAAATTAAAATACGAACTGATATCGATATTGAAAAAAAACTTGGGGGTATGAAATTGTTTCCATCCGACACTATAAGGCAACATTTTCACAATTTAGATAGCAAAGACATTCGAATCATCATACTACCACCTACTACTGGTAAGTATCTTTCATTAGTCACAACATTGAATTTGTCATGAAATCTATTGATAGTTATTGAAATATATTTAATGAAAAAATTTGATACATTTCTGAGATTTTTTAAAGATTTTATTAAACATAAATCTTTTCTGTTCTTAAAAAGCATCACTTTCCATAGAAAGTATAATCAACGCTGGGTTAAAAATTAAAAAAGCAAATGATCGTCTTGTAACTATGTACAAGTACGTAGAAAGACCACATATAAGACGTTTCATTCAAGATCGACTACAAAGTAACATAGCTGCTTTTAGGAGAGGGAGTTATCGTCCAAATGATTACCAAGGAATCAGTATTTCTGGTGGCTCCGGTACTGGAAAAACTCGTCTCGGATTTGAAGTAATAAACATGATCGATTTAGAAAAAATAGAAAATTTTGATATCAAAACTATTCATATATTTGCTCAAATTAGTTATTACACTGTTGATTTTGGAAAAAGACCTGAGCTTGATCAAACTACCAAACGTTATCCTCATATATCAGAACATGTAAAACTTGTGAGTCAATATTTAGCATTAGCGATTTCTACATACTGGTTTACAAATAATTATAAGCTAGAGTCTTTATCAGATTTCAAAAGTCTTGCGAAAAGTTCCGCTATTAATTTACAAACAGTTTTATTAGCAATTCGGTATTCCTGTCAAATGCCCGAACAATCCAAACTTTTGATACTCTTACAACTTGACGAATATCAACGTGACCAATACTTATTAACAGTGATTTTGCGTTTTATCTCCACGCTTGTTTCTGATGAAGATATTAAACGGCTTAACGTTTTAATTGTGCCCATTTGTACTGGTACAGCACCAACTAAAATTGAAGAATCAGGTGATCTAAGCGTAACTGATTATAAAATTTATGACATACATGTGTCGCCCATGGATATGAAAGCATCACTTGACTTTATAGATTCGGTTATAGAATATAGAACAAACAATTTCAATCCAATCTCACGTGAAAATCTATTATATCAAATCTTAGTCGGTGCTGTTCGAGGAATTGCAATTATTATGGAGGAGTGCGCTATTAAGATTATAAGTATGAAAGTTTCCTTTACTTCAGCAGAACAAGTCAAGGAAATTTGGAAAATGCTAGTTGATTGGTTAAAGGCAAGGTATACACTTAATGATTGGTTAGATAGTATTGGAGGGAAAAAACATTCCGAAGATAATGAAGTCAAACGTAAACATGCCGTATTGAACTTGTTATTTTTGATACATACTCAAAAGTTAATCACTAAAGACACTGCTTTGAATAATAGTACTTTAGGGGACCACGAAGTTGGAGGTCTTATTTTTTTAGAGGCAATTGATAGCACTTATTATAAAGCCAAAGCTCCTCTAGTACTAATAGCTTCTTTGGTTTCACACTTGAAATTAGATTTCTTTGACGATATTGTTTTAGACCCATTTAGCCGACTTGATGAAGATACCTTCCCATTATTCATTATAAAAATGCATCTAATTACATACAGATTAGCAGAAATGATTGGAATCCGTAGTATTACAATCAAAGAAATTTATTTTGGCTACATAATGGCATCAGAAGAAATATTATTCAAGGCAATTGATATTCATCATGTGCAATATAAAGCTGTGCCCGCCTTGGAAGTGAGAAAAAATGTTCATAAACATCCTTTCAAATATAACAATTTAACAAATCGTAAGGAAGTTTTAGTTGTTGCTGATACCAATAGCAACAGGACAGAAATTATAGATATAACAACAGGTCATTATTTTGTTATGACTCAAAAACGTGGTAAGTCAGCTGATGCTTTGACACCTCATGGAGATGAGCAGTATAAATTCAGTGCTGTTATAGCATCGGGTCATTCTGTACATAAAACATCAATAGGTGAGATTGATTTAGAGGAGTTTAAAACAGAATTAGAAAAGGCATATGGTTGTGAATGCTTTGTCTTAATTACTATAAAGCGATTTTTACATGGAGTTAATGAACTTCCTCCCAAAACTGGCATCGTATTTGGAGATTTGCTCCTAGGTTTTATGGGAATATACGGAGATTTAACTAAATTTATTGCATTACCCTAAAGAAGAGTTGAAAAGATTGACACTAATTACGGAAAAAATTACAACTTAAACAATTACATTTCCAAGGATTCTTTATTGAATTCCGATCTTTTAGTATAATATCCATTTATATACTACAGTCGTACTTTGGTTACATCTTCACTAGGTTATATCCCTTCTTATTTATTCCCTTAGTTATATCCCCATATTTAGATAGAATAAATGTTCTTTTTTTTATGTTTTATATATTGAGTTATATCTCCAAAAAAATTCAAAAACTTGGAGAAATAAAGGGGTGATATAACCAGGTACGACTTTATATCTTGTAATTGCTTGGTTAAGAAATACTAAAATTTTTAACTTTTATGTGAATTATTTTTGAAATCTGTTCATTTTCGATATTCAAAGATATTTTTAAATTCTACATCGTAATTTATTGGTCCATTATTGAGAAATCTTTAAACAAAGTTTATAAACAAACAACCAATATTGTAACTATATTCATAATTGTCCAGGTGCGTAGCTAAGGGCTTAAAATTAGAGTGGTCACTCATCCAATTAAATCAAATAAGCGTCTAGTCTACATTTGTTAGGCGAAACTGTTTTGCACAAATGGCGAAACTCTGACGAATGCGAAATCCCTGGCGAAGGCGAAATCCCTGGCGAAAGGCGAAACTCTTGGAGAAGGTCAAAGCTCTCAGCAAAGTTAAAATTCACCGAGACTTTGGAATGAAAATATTTGTGTGTTTATTAAGCATAGTATGTGGCTCATATAAAGAAATGTACCTGAACCATGTTGGTGAATGAAATATTTGTGTGTATACTTGCTGGCAAATCCGGACAAATCCCAAACCCTAAAAAATAATAACTAATTATAAAAATTGAATCAAACAAATAATTCTAAAATTTTATAAATATATTATCTATAGCTATAAGAATATTTAAATAATGTTTATTAATAAAATTTTTGAGCTATGAATTTGGTCAGACCTTTTGGGTTTGTCCACTTTAAGTTTACTTAAAGTGGACAAACCCATAGCTCAAAAATTTTATTAATAATCATTATTTAAATAAATCAAGTATATTCTTATAAATATAGAGAATAATTTATAAAATTTTAGAATTATTTGTTTAATTTTTTATAATTAGCAATTATTTTTTAGAGGTTTGGGATTTGTCCGGATTTGGCCAGCATGTATATTTGTGTGTGGCTATTAAGCACAGTATGTTACAAAGAAGCCATGTTGAATGAAATATTACATGTGGCTATTATATGACTTACATATAGTTAGTTGTCTTCACTCGTTAAGGTTAGGTTAGCGTTGTATTATAGTTAGATTTTAGTGAGGATATACGTATTAATAAAATCGCCAAGGAAAATTTTTTATTATTGTACTAAAGATGGTTTCTATTTGAGTTCTTGAGTTTTAAGCGCTTTTTGATTTTTCCTGATCGTGCAGCGTTACACCTAATCTTGATACCTTATTGATTTGCGCAACAAAATATCATGTGACTGCAACTTTTTGGTGGCAATACATGGTGTAAAAGAAATATACCGTGTTGGTGAATGAAAATATTTGCGTGTAGCTATTAAGCACATCATGTGGCTTATATTAAGAAAAGCACATAAGTCAGATTGGTGAGTAAAATTATTTGCATATGGCTATTAAGCACAGCATGTGGTTCTATAAAGAAAATACCTAAGTTACTGTTGGCAAATGGATACTTTTAGACAATTACAATACTCAATACGTATAACATGTACTTTTCTACAAATAACTTATTCTATCAAGTTTATATAACAATATATATATAATATTTAAACTATTAAAAATACAGGTCATCCTTGTTAATATCAACCCGTTAATATCAACCTAAGCCACATGCCAAATTTTTATATATCAAAATTCCCTCAAATATATCAATTTTAATATGATTTCTTATTAATATCACTATTAACATGATTTAAAGCCAATTCAAATAGGTTGATATTAATCAGGGTGACCTGCAGATAATAATACTTAATATAACTAAGACTAATACAATACAAAGAAGAAAGATAAATAACATCTTACTATCAGACAAATATGAAAATAAGTTTCAGAAAACAAAATTATTAGTTATATTGATATATCCAGATATTTACAATATCTTAAGTTGTACCTGTGATACTTAAGTAAGAAAGGTAAATTATGTTGGTCAGGGTATAATTCCAAAAAACAATGTCTTGAGCTGTACCCGGATACTTAAGTAGGAGGATATATTGTACAAATGAAAATTTAATTAATTAATTTATTATGCATAATTGACATATTATAAAATTAAATAAATTTATTATTGGTTAATGCTTGATATATAAGAGTTGTAAAGTTTTAATTATAAAATGGTTTTAAATAAAAGAAACAGGTTAAACAGACTAGCATTACTGAAAAAATTCGTTAAAGTTGTGTTTCCATAACAACTTAACTCACATATTATAGTTATGTTACTGAAAAATAATAATTTTTATATAGTTACTGGTATTTTTCAAAGTAGTGGAATATTATTCATTGAACTTTGACATAATTTTACCGGATATAAGCTCACAAATTATCACAGTGTATAGCTCATAGGGAACCTACTGCATTGCACTTTACGATAGTTTCGCTACCTTTTGCCACTTTATTACCTTTTTCCAGTTTTGCCACCCTTAGCCGGTTTCGCCACCTTTCGTCACCTTTCACCGGTTTCGCCACCTTTCACCGGTTTCTCCAGTTTCGCCATTTCGTCTTTTAACTTTTTTCTTTGGCGAAGTTTAGGGTTAGGGCAAGTAGGAGCATTGTTCTTTCTTCGTGTGAGGTTATAGGAAAATTAGCTTTATTTCAAAAGAATTTTTCTTTTAAAACTGTATGTACTATCATGATTTCCACATGTCCGTCCCAATTTGCGTTTCCGTACCGTACTAAATTTACTATATACCCCATACATCACAGGAGTTAGCCAACCAAACATTAAATATTTGATTAATCTGAATTAATGAACTCTAATATGTTCATATTCGGGCCATTTTCATAGTATCCTGTTTATTACTAACCCTAGACTATAATTGGACCTACGTTGACAAATTTGGTGATTATAATAGAAGGATTGAATGTAATGATTACGCATTAATGGAGGACTTTTTTGGAATCAAAACATCCATAATCTAATCCTAGTTTACTATGTTTAAATATCAAATTTTCTTTTTTTTTTTTTTGCTCAATTCTTTACATAGATGCGATTCATTGCCAGTCATCTTATTATAATGGTTACTATGAAATAGTTGTGCCTTTAACACAATTAATTATAAGATTTGGCATTCAATCAGGGTGAAAACATTATACATCAATGAAATATAACCATAAAGTATGATTCGCTAAGTTATTAGCAATTAATATCTCAGAAAATGATCTTTCTACACCATTTTTGCATAATCAGATCTGTAATAATTTTTTATATCGGATTATGCACCTATTATTATTTATTCTGGTGTAACCGGATTTAACTGAATTATTATATACGTATAACCGACTTATTGTTATATTTAGTTGTTTTATTTTTTGAACAATCAATAAAACTGATTAAGAAAATAAAACTGGTTTCGATCACAAGTAGTAAGGATAATTTTGGGTTAGTCAAACTTCGCCCAAGTGGCGATCTTATCGTAATACTTGTATAACGAAATTCTTGAATGTGAGCAGGATTGTGGCGCAGTCAGATTCTTTAGAGTTCGGGTTAAGGCTTTTATTAAGGTTAGAAGTTAAGATAGTAAATAGTAATTGTCCAAGGAAAACTTTTACAAGTACATAAGAAATAGGTTTGTATGCAAATTTTCGAGACAAAAGCGATTTTTTGCCAAAATGACGGTTGTGAATTTTTCCTGTTCATGTTACGTTACACTTGATCTTGTATTCATGCAATCTGCGCCACAAACTGGCACGCATTCAGGAGTTACTTGTATAACAATCGATTTCGTATTTAATTCACCGCCAATTCACTGTCAATCATAAATATTCTCAACTAGAACATTGATATATTGTACGATTTTAATAATATATAATGTCAAATAAAAAAAACATTTGCAATAACTCATTTATAGATCATGATAATAATGGTCCCTCAAAAAAAACAGATTTACCGTTGAATGAGTCACAGGATTTTCTAAATAATGTTATCGAAGAATTATGTAACGTGTATAATAAAGAAGTCATAAAAGGAAATCTTATAGACTCAATTCTTCACTCCATAAATCAACATTTTACAAATAAGAAGCAAAATCCCAAAGAAATAATTAACTTATGTTTAATTAATCAAACAAACCCTATTGTTCAAACCAATTCTATAATTCAAAATATTCTTGCATATTGCTATCAATATGGAAAATGGATTAAAAAAGATGATCGTAAGGCATTTATTTATTATCAAAAATCAGCAGAGACGGGGAATTCTATTGGAATGAATAATCTTGGATCTTGTTATGAACATGGAATTGGAGTTGAAAAAGATGATCATAAAGCGTTTATCTACTATCAAAAATCAGCAGAAATGGAAGATTCTTATGGAATTAGTTCCTTTGGTGATTGTTATCGAAATGGAATTGGTGTTGAAAAAGATGTGCATAAGGCATTAATTTATTATCAAAAATTGATCGAAATGGGACATGCTATAGGAATGAATGCTTTTGGATATTGTTATTATCATGGAATTGGAGTTGAAAAGGATGAATATAAGGCATTCACTTGCCTTCAGAAATCTGCTGATATGCATAATGCTGACGGAATGTACAATCTTGGATATTGTTATGAAAAAGGAATTGGAGTTGAAAAGGATGAACATAAGGCGTTCATTTATTATCAAAAATCTGCTGATATGGGGAGTTCTGAAGGAATATTCGGTCTTGGGTATTGTTACGAAAAAGGAATTGGAGTTGAAAAGGATGAACATAAGGCATTCATTTATTATCAAAAATCTGCTGATATGGGTAATTTTAGTGGAATAGAAAAGCTTGGATATTGTTATTTAAAAGGAATTGGAGTTGAAAATGATGAATATAAGGCATTTATTTATTATGAAAAAGTTTGCCAATATGGATAGTTCTAATGGAATAAACGTCTTGGATAGGGATATAAATCGATTCTATGACAATCGTTTTATTCATTAACCGAATTAGAATCAATTCATATTTCTAATCGTTTGTATAAACAATTACATTTTTTAAAAATTTATTCTAAAGTGAAATTTTTCTGCTTTAAAATAATAAAATATTAATTAGCCATATATTTGTTACGTATTAAAAATTATAGGATGCATTATTTGTTAAAATTCTAAGCCTATAAATTATATTCAGCCACCTGTCAGTGGCTGTGTTTTTTAAAAAAATTAAGACATAGGAACGGACTCTATTGGATTAGAGTATCTGGTTTTTCTACTAGTAATTCTTAATTTGTTTAAATCATAATAACTTTGAAAACGGGATCCGTTTGGTTCCAGAGCGCTTTGCGAACAAAATTCAAAGAAATCTACTTATTTGCAAGATATTAATAGTCTGGCTTAAATGCATAACTATTATATACTTATCTTTATCTGCTCGAATTAATATATAACGTATAGTACATCAATCGCGATTAATTACATAAAGGATTGTTCTCTCATAAGATTTCTGATCATTAATTCTGAAACCCCTAATATTTTATTTAAACAGTATATTCGTAAGATTTTTAAAAACTAAATTTGAGAACAAATTAATTTAATTTATATGCATATTAAGTGCGAAAGTTGATTAATAATTGTGCCTGTATCAATAAGCCGTTTTTCTTAAGTATCCATTCTTGCATCTTTAAGCTTTTTAATACGTTGAAGTTCCTCAAAAGAATAGCCAAATTTAAAGAATACAAGTCATAGACTTTAAGTGACAGTAATTAAAAGTTAAATTTAACGATATCGATATGTCATATACTATATGACAATAACTGATACTGCTATAATTATGCTAGATTGTACGATAGTAGTAATTTGGAAATTTTCTTATCGTAGTTTAACAGGAAGAGTCGATGTTACACACTTGATCCTTCACTGATGTGCAACATATAAAAAAATTATTTTACAATACCACGAGTCATGCTATGATTATAATCACACACCATTTTTTTATAATAAATAGTGTGGGATTATAATCATAGCGGAATTATCTGGTATTATAAAATAATTTTTTTATATGTTGCACACCAGAAGAAGAATCAGTCGTATAATATCGACGGTCCTGTTTCATAGTCCTGGAATCCAAAGTTAAATTTAAACAACGATATACTATATTACTAAGAGTTAATAACTAGAGTTAATAATTATAATGCTAATATAATTCTGTTCAATCAAAAATATTGGTGATTTGAAAATTTACTTTATCTTACACTGGAGCCCAATTGGAATTTTTTCTTGCCTATTGTCTGGACTTTGTTCCTCTGCTCTGTTTCGGAATTATATTTTTGTATTGTTTTTTCAATTCGTTTCTGTGTTGCAAATATATTTTGCCGTAGTCGAATTTTATCTATTCATATGTTTTTTGTTTCTCTGCATTGGTTCCGTGGGTTGTTAATTAGGTATTAAAAAGCTTGTTTTCTAATAATTTATATACAATTAGACCCTTCTAAATGCAACCCATAATCGCTTGGGCTCAGCTAATATAATACTTGTAGATTTTACCTTTCTAAATACAATATCCCTCTGAATGCTTAAGTAAATTTTACTTATGGTCCCGTCAAAATCCGTTTGGGGGACCCCACAGCAAAAGAAGGTAGTGGGCAAAAAAAATTTTAAACTCAATTTCTTGAAGAATTGAAGTATCAGAAATACAGTTTTTATAAATTACAAAATAAAAAATTTTTTGCTCACTGCTTTCCTTTGCTATGGGATTTCCTATTTATAAAAGCCGACTGTATTTATGATTCTAATAATTAGTATATTATGGGTTGATTTTCCTATTTTTAAGTAATTGAGTTCTATCTTTTTAAAGAATATTTTATAATTATTAAATTTATGTGAATTAACATTCCAGGGCGTTATTTATAGACTTACAATTTTAAACTTAATTAAATTATTTTCAAATTCTGATGTTTTTTATAATTTTATTTATTGTTATTGATTTAGTTAACAAAAACTACTAATAATTATTAGTTTAGTTAGCGAATGATTTTAAAAATTGCTTATTATTATTAGTCTGATTAACAACATAATTAAACAATAGTAAATTCCAACAATTATTATATTATATAATAATATTATAAATATCACATGCCAATTATAATATTAATTATAGTTAAATTATAATGATAAACTAATTTATTTTTAGTTCAAATTTCAAAGTTTAAATTTAACGAGTTCAAATTAGAACATTTAAGACTTTTAAAACTTTACTTGCAAATATATGTATTGTAAATTTTAAATCAAAAATTAATTTTTGTTTAATAAAATCATTATACTATTAATAGTAACTTGATTTTAAACTAATTTATTTAAGCTCAAACTAGAACTTTTAAATCTTTATTTATATATATGTATATACTTAAAACAAATCTTAAATTAGAAATTTATTTTGCGTATTTGAAATTTTATATCAAATAATAGTAAGTTTAATTGGATTATTAAAATACTGTTATTTTGAATATGAGTTCTTATTTATTTTATTTTATTGTTTTTTTTAACTACTGAATATCAATGTATTTATTATGTACATATATTTTAAATATTTTAAAGTTTAAAATTTGGTTTTAGATTATCTATTTTTAGAAATTATTTTGATTATGTTTTTATTATTTCTAATTACTAGTTTTTCAAACCAAATAATTAAATTATGCTTATATGTCTAGTATTAAGTCTTTTATTCAGATTTAAATGCATGAATAATTTAATCAATTTAATATAATATTTGAGAATTCCAAAACAATCTTAAATTTTTTATTTTGAATTATTTTAATATTTAACTTTTATTAAATAGTTTACTATTAAAAGTCTTTATTAATATATATGGTAACTATAAGATCACTTAATGCGTCAATTCTAAAGTTATTAGCAATTACTATATTATTATAAAATAATATTAAACATTATTTAGAAAATTGTATTTCACATTTAGTTAAATTAATTATAGCTCTTTTTAATTAATGTTTTAAGACAAAAAATCAGTATTGTTACTTTTTCATATTAAGGTATATAATTTCTTCTTTTATTTATTAAATATATTAAAATTTTTGTATTTATAATTAGTAAAAAACACATGCAGATACTAAATGTTCTTTTAATATATATATTTATTTATTCAAATTAATTTTTTTTTGTAATAAATTATATATAAATACCAAAGTTATATATACAGTTGTAAATATAATGTTTTGAAGCAGTCTATAGATATGACTTTATAAATATAATGTTTTAAAAATTAGTATAACTTAAATCAGATTTTGTTCTTCTGTCTTAAATCATCTTTTAAATTTGCTTAAAATTTTTATTTTAGTAAAAATTGTATTTAAAATATTTAATTTATTTTGATAATCTTTTATTTTCTAATAAATTAGATTTTTAGTTACAAAATTTATTACAAATTCTGGTATATCATATAAAAACATGACTTAATAAGGTTGACTTAAAGAATATGAATTCAAAATTGCTAGATTATAACACTTAAATTAGAGTATAATTTCAAATCTGATGCAAAATTTGAAAATAATTTAAATTAATTCTAAATTTAATATTAAATTATTAATAATTTAATAGCAATATAAGTTGATTTTAAATTTGATACTATACTAAATATATAATAGATTGATGTAACAATAATTAAATTACATTGAATCATTATACTTAATTGTTATGCTTATTTTATTTTTGTTCTTTACAACACTCAACTTGACAAATAATATTAAGGTCTTTATTTTTACTTTACAATATATTTAAAGAATTGTTTTTCAATTATCTTAACAACAAATTAACTAATACACATGATGACTTTAATTTTTGTATTAAGGTTGCTGGCAAATACAAATATACTCTTCTGCAAGATCCTATATAGTTGAATGTAAGTCTGGTACTATTAGAATTATGCATAATGCTAATAAATTAAATTAAGCAAATACTGACTATAAAGTAGAGATGTTAAAAAAACAGGGTCAACCATTTTTTCACCAATTTAAAACAGGTGATGATTAAAGTCTGAATAGTTAAATAAATATTACCTGTTTTTAATTACATAATAAAAAACTTTTGCCATCCTTATTATAAAGCAGAAACCTAACCTAAATCAGGTCAAATTTGTTAATGAAATAGCTGTCAGTAAAATGGTTGTTGTCAAAATTGACCATATAATTGTCAAACAAATAATTATTGATGAAATAGGTTGTTTGTAAAATATAATATCGAGAAAATGAACTGTCCACTAAATAATGTCAATTAAATAAACTGTCAGTGAAATAATAGTTGGAGAAATGAATTAATATCAAATTAAAATTGTTCAAATCTTGTTAAAGTAAAAACTTTATTGCTTAAAAAAGATTATAAATAGATTTAAAGTTTAGAAATTACCAAGCTATCACAAGATATTCTGCATTATGAATAAAGAATATAAAGTAGTATAATATATATAAGAAATATATAATATAGATATTATATGTGACAATATGATATTAAATAATTTCTTTATTTATTAAAAGAAGCTCTTCAGCCTTGTGAATATAGAGGACTTTAAAGGAATGAGTAACAAATATCTAAATCATGAGTTACATGATGCTTTAGATTCTTCAGTATGTTCAAACATTCATTATAACATAATTTCCAATATTCGATTGTAAAATGATCTGAAAAATATATATTTATGTTTCATGGTTATTAGTAATGAAAAGTTTTTTCTTTGTTTATTTCGCAAATTTTAAAGTTATGATTATTTTCTTTATCATTGTTAAATTTATTATTGAGTCACCGAATCATCGTAGTTTAATAAATTTAAATAACAGATTGCATTAAAAATCGACCTAAATTGTTTATCAGATCGAAAAACCTCACATGTCAACAAATTTTATGATCTACGCAGAACATAATGTACGCAAATTTAATTATGTTTTGTTAACCGTACCTAGTAAATTTTAATCCAAGTTTAACTGCACAGTATTCCTTATTGCAAAATAACGTATGTCGATTTCTAATTTAAGAATGGCAAGTCAATTAAGATTTGACATAAATTAATCATACGGAACGCAAATACTCAAGCTAATCAATAGTAAATCAGTCTGCTATCAGTATAATCATCACCAGCAATTCCTAGTTATATTTGTTTAAAATTCAAAATAGATGATATATTATTGCGGTTTGCAAAATTACGTGAAATTTGAAGTTCATTAAATGCAACCCCTCTAAATGCAACCCCTCTCTAAATACAACCTTTAACTCAAATATATAATAAACTCCCATAAATGCAAATTTTCTTATTAATCCCTAATTTCGAGCTCTCAAAAGTCTGGTCCATATGAATTGCATTCAGGGAGGTTAGACTGTATCTTAATATTCGTTTATTGAATAAGCAGGTTGCATATTTTTTTCAAAATCAATTTAGCAAAATTCCAGCCAAGAACTTAAAATTCTACAAGCTGTAGTATTCTAAAATGAACTCAAACGATGTAATTTAGTCCTTGTTGAAATAATTTAATTAAAATTTAGACTTCAGTACTACATAACCAACTTTTGATTTTTTGATGCCATTTTAGAAGTTGACGATCTGTAAGTTCTTAAATGTCTCAGATATTTAAATTGATTGATTCCCTAAATATCTTTTTTAAGAATCTGTAAAATTTGATAACTTTATGGAGTATTAGAGTTTTGCAAACTTGTAAAATTTTACGTGTAAAAATTTAAGATAACTTCTGTAAAATTGTATCTAATTGACTCCTGCTTTGAGCTGTGTTATTGCTCCAGCACCAGAAATTACACCTAACGGAACTAGTGCATGCTTCTAAAGCGCATACCATTAAACACAATTTTGGTGGGTCAAGCTTCGCACAGATCTCATCCAGTGTCCTAAATTTCAGTATCAAATAATGTCCTCATGAAAACAGTACAATAACTATAGGTGTACTCAAAACATTGATTATGTTCAAAAAAAAAAAACTAATTAAGCTTTGAAAATGCTTATTATAGGGAAGAATACATATTATTTTACTGTCCACAAAAACTTCAATGCTTTCATGAGAATCTAAGAACACCAAATTCGAACAATAGCGGAAATATTGTCGTAATATATCCTATAAAAAAAAGGTGTCCAAATTTTGCCGGCAATGTTTTAAAAACTTTCTAAAATTATTCTTTTTTGTTCAAAAGAATGTTCAGGATGAGTCGATTTTCCGAGCATACTGCATGTTTGACAACCCAAAAATTTCTTTTTTTATAAGTATTGCAGTATAAAAATTATACATGGCATTCGGAAAATCGACTCCATTCCGAACATTTTTTCGGACAACTGAACAAACTTTTTTATAGGGATAGTATATTTATAAAACGCAATCCTAGAATTTTTGCCAGGTTTGTGGCGCAGATTTCCTAAACTACAAACCAAGGTGCAACGTAACACAAACAGGAATCCAAAATAAACGTCGAAAATCGATTATTCTATTCTAGAAGTATTGCGTATAAAACTACTCTTCGTGCCTAATAAAAAGGTTTCTTTAGCAATTTTACTATATAATAACCTCTAATCGAAATAAAACCTTAACTATAACATAAATGAAATTTTTAAGAATTTTAATTCCATCACAAACCTGTCACACATTCATGGATTTCTTGTACAACAAACGATTATGTATTTATTCACTCTCAATCATATTGACGCGTATGTACGACATCTAATTTTCAACCCGAAAACTCTCGTTGTACTATACAATTCTAAGCATATATAATGTCAAATGAAAAAGGCATTTACGATAGCTCATTTACAGATCATGATGATAGAGTTGTTAATGTTTCAAAACAGAACAAATTTATAATTATATGATTTGCGAGATTTTCTAAATAGCGTCATCGAAGAATCATGTAGCGTGTTTAATAAAGAAATCATGAAAGGAAACTATACTGACTCGATTATTTACTCAATAGAGCAGCATTTTACAAATAAGCGGCATAATTCAGAAGAAATCATAAACTTTATTTTAAATAACCGAACGAACCCTATTATTCAAACAAATCTTATC